AAGCACTGTCTGACGCGTCTGCCTCCGCGACCCGAAAGGAGAAGCGGCGATGGAAGATGAAGATGAAACAGTGATAAACATTAAACATAATGAACAGTGGTTTCCGTAAACCGTCAAGAAGAGTCCTAAGTTCTAACCTGCAGAACAAAGAGTATTAGATCACCCAATGTAATCTCTCTCATCAAGCATTGTGAAGAAATTCCGGGTTGTGGCATAACAAATACCTTGAGATAATTCGAAGCAGTAGACTTGACCGGTCTGAGTACGTTATTGCGTCATGGCCCCTATAGCCTGGGTGATAGCATACTTGATGACGATCGCGATCCGTTGCACCCGAAGTTTCAGCGCGCACTGTCCCGGCATCATGGCACTCGCAGTTATCTCATCATCTCAGCACGGATGGATCTCTACATGATAAATGTTGGAGTAATGAATCCGCTTGTGTTGTCAGTTCACTATGAACAAGAAGGCTTATTAGTAATGATGCATTTGTATTGTGCTTTACAGTTGCAGTATTTTATGCTGTATGTAACATTTGCGGAAATTTACGAATAAAACATCCGACGTTTTTTGTTTTACTTTGTTTTTTGAAACATTTGATGAGTCCCGTCAACATTCTACTTTTTTGCAGTGTCACATGAAATACTGACTGATACACAATGCACATAATGGCAATGATACTAATTCTGCAATATTTACACATAACCCTCATCAATTACTACCATCACTATTATTGTAGTACTAATATACTTTCATTTAAGCAAATAATTCCAAATTTTGCTACAGAAGTCAAGCAATTACGAAGTATTCTACCAGTTATTCATGTATAAAACCATACCTGTTTGCAATTGCACATAACGCTCATCAATAATTACCATTATTATTGTACTAGTATACTTTTATTTAAGCAAATAATTCAAAATTTTGCTACAAAAGTGAAGCAATTACGAAGTATTCTACCAGTTTATCATATATAAAAGCATACTTACTTATAATTGCACGTAACGCTCATCAATTACTACCATCAGTATTATTATAGTACTAATATACTTTCTTTTAAGCAAATAATTCCAAATTTTGCTACAGAAGTCAAGCGATTACGAAGTATTCTACCAGTTATTCATATATAAAAGCAATTGCACATAACGCTCATCAATTGCTACGATTATTATTATAATAGTACTATCATACCTTCATTTACGAAGCACTGGCTAACTGATGCACAGCTATGAAAGCATATGCTTTTTATTATATTGTACGTTGAGTATTATATAATAATATTGCATTAGTATTGCAATTACTAATGCATAAATGCTCATCGGTTACGGTGCATTCTATTTTATTATCATCATTCTTAGTCTTTCGCACATGGCAAAAATCGTGATTCAAACATGGACAAAATACCTACAAAGACAATACAAACAAAGAACATTAACAAGCAATGGAATTCTTCTTCAGTGACAACAATCAGTAAAACCGTTTTTCATACCTAAAACAGTCATATATTCGTGGTTCATTATTTTTTCAAGGCAGACTTACGAGTGCAACGTGTGAACACTACCTTCCAGTTGTGCTCCTGCAGTCCTTTTCTCGAACCTGATTCTACCTTGTTCCGTCATGTTTCTAATACATAAATACGCACAATACTCAAAGCATACTTCTACAAGTACTTTTCATTCAACCTTACCTTAGATCTTCAACGCTTTGCGCCCCGATGTCTTGACATCCGTGCTGCACGCCGAGGATCAAATACGGCACGAATACGTATATGGAACCTTTATCGCTGATCGTACCAGAGACCCCCTGTGCAACTTTTACCTTGTCCGTATCCCTAAAAAGAATAGCTCCAGCAAGTTCAGATCATGGCCACACTCCATAAACCAAACTTCTTAGACAACCGCAGTGTTTACAATTAAAATCTGCCTCCTGTCAATGCACCTTACTTCACGTGATACCGTTCCCGACTAGCTGGATTAGACTCCATGGCGTCTATAGAGCCCATGCCCCGATATTTCTTAAGCCGCATGCCGTCTGACCAGAAGTAATCACCAGGCGTCTCTAGGGTTCCGGCGAGTAATGAACCCATCATAACTAAACATACATGTTGAGATCACTTGTACAGTTGCATAGAAACTTTTAGAACCAGTCGAGGCTCCGATAGCAAGAGCCTTGGTGATGTGACCAAGATACTGGATGCCACCGTCCGCGATCACCGGCACGCCGAATGCTTTGGCATACTTCGATACTCGGTAAACGGCAGTGGCCTGGGCCCTCCCAACCGCCATCACTACAGGCAAACCGCCATGTAGATTACATCTGTTTCGTCAATCGACTCACCTTCCTGAGTTATGCAAATTGAGCCGCTGCCCATTCCAACCCTTAGGGCATCGGCACCAGCGTCAATGAGATTCTTTGCCTGTGGTATCGTAACAACTAAACATAAGTTTACACTAGGGAGTGCAGATTTGAAGTTTACCGTTGCCGGCGACTACTTCCAAGTTTTTGTACGTGGACTTTATGTACCGCAACATCTCAATCTGGTATACGCTGTTTCCCTGCGAAGAATCCTGCAAGGAGAATACGGTGAGTAATAAATGCGACCGATATCTTTAAAGTAACTGTCTAATACGTTCTCCCGATTATGATATCTGTCGTGGAATATAAGCAGTTGCAGATACACAAATTGTCCTATAGTTAGATCGCATTACTTCTTAAACAAACAAACTAATCTGCTGAAAATTCAACGCCATGCATCAGACAAACTATCGAGGTCCTAGGGACATGCCACTGTGCTGTGTACACCTATTTTACCTCATTCCCATTACTGCCCAAAGACTGCTACAAAAAAACAACTGAAGACCGTACAATATTTATACCACCAGCCAGAGACTTACCAGAACAACCACATCGACCCCGGCATCACAGAGTTTTCGTAAACGTGCCTTTGAATCTTCCCGCGTACCAATGGCGGCCCCGACGAGAAGTCGACCCTGCGAGTCCTTACTACTCAATGGGAATGACCGATTCTTTTTTATGTCTGTTCGTGCAATTAGAGCCACCAATTCATCGCTGCCATTTACTATTGGCAACTTTCCTGTGAACGTATAAAAGTTTTTCAAGAATGTCCATATGATTAATATAATTACCTTTCTTATTCACCTGTAAGATACGGTACGCTTCATCCAACGTGGTTGAGTCCCTTGCCGTGATTACGTCCTTCCTTGGTATCATAATCTAGAAATGGTAATATCATGCTAAGTGACATACGTCAAGTTTAAGGGAAAAGTCAGGTTACATCATTGAGGGATATTGTCTTCCATTCTTCTTCTGGTATAAAGTCAATATCCCTGGAAGCACACAGGCCCATCAGCTTGCCACCGATCTCTCCGGTGTCCGTCACAGGGATACCCGAAAATCCATATTTTTTCTTGATCATCATGATATCGTATACAGTCTGGTCAGGGCGCATAACGACCGGTTGATGAATGAACCCTTGCTTATATCGCTAAAATAAAAAGTTATCACGAAAATATATTTCCATAATTCATCAAGCTTCATAGAACTTACTGATCTCAGTATAATGTATTGGTTTACTTCAGTACATAGTCATATCACCAACTTGTATTATGTTTGAAAGTATCTTGATATGAACGACATCGTACACCGCATTTCCACTGTATAGTAAAAGCGCATAAGATATATACATCTGCAGGTGAGATTTTTTTAAATGACTGCAACTGGCCCTGGCTTATTTGAGTACTTGCATCAATTATCACATGATGAAAAACACGATATAAGTTTAAAATAGCAGACGTTAAACTCGTATTTGTTAACTATAGCAAATAATAGTTACGCACCTTCACTTTTGCAACTTCCCTTGCTTGAAACTCTGGAGTGCAATTGCAGTGCAAGATTCCGATTCCGCCGCATAACTAAAAATTGAATACCGTGAAAAGACAATTATTTTAATAATAAGCTGTAAACCAGAGACAGGGAAAAGATTCTCAGAATTTAGCCAAAACCGCTTTCCTTGCAGTAAATTTTTATTTTACAAGGCTAAACAGTCGTCTCCTACTGACTTTTCGTGTAACCGAGATGATGGAAACGCAGAGATCAGAAGTTTAGAACATCGGACTCAGAACTCATAGCGCCAGGGGTTCCAGCACAGGGTGCGTCGTTCGCCTTTTTCCATTCGATGTTCAAAAATAAGTACTGTCCGTGGAAAAGAAACACCAAACTACTCATTATGCTAGGCACAATTTTGCCCACTGCCATTAAAACAAATTAAATTAAACAAACATTTACTACATTGCACCATCAGATATATTAATGGATGTCTCTGACC